AAAAATGAGAGATTTTCTAGGATTTGACCCTCTCCCCAAGTCACGTATCCCAATTAATTGAAGCTCCCTGCCTCAATTAGATTGCTTCCCTATCTGATGCTATGCTCTTTGAACAGCCACCCACTCCGCGGGGATGGATGCTTGACCCGTCAGCCAGAATATTGTTTATTTATCACGGTTGGTCCATGAAGCTCCTATATTCGGCTACGAAGCTGCTTATTAATTGTTTATCAAATTTATGCAGTAAACGATTCGTAGCCTCCGATTAGCTCTCACAGCTGCCTATGAAAAATTTTTCGTATTTCTTAAATATAGTCGTTGAGGTTTATAGTAAATCGCAAACAAGTTGAAAAATTTGCAAATTAATAGTCTACCGACTTAATGAGACCCATAAGAAATCATAGTCCTACAGGAATTTCTAGGGAATTATAAATTATTCTGTCTATATTTTTCTTTTTCATTGATCTGTATAGACCAACCAAGCGTTCCTTCGTTGATTACTGAGGGTACATTGTCCCTGGGGTAGGCTAATTGGTGACAGACTTTTCTGGGAACACAAAAACAGAAGTCAAGGCTTTCTAGGGTGTGTTATTAGATTGAATTACACATGAGCACTTGAAAGGTCTACTGTGCGACTATTGACATTTGTCGGAAGCATGGCGTATCTCAGAGAAATCGCCATATCGATTTTTCGTCTTTATCGAAACATCGTGGCGGAGGTGGTGTAGGGGCAAGTGGCGCACTGCATCACACGCACGGTCAGGATTTCGAATCCCAGATCGATGCCTGCCTAGGCCAACCAAGCCTTCCATCCCTCCGGGGTCGGTGAATTGGTACCAGATTCGTCTGGGAGGATAAAAGCACTGACTTGTACATCGGCTGGCCACCGCAAGTCTTTGTATAGGTCTCATACGCACTCATTACGCCACTACGACTCTGAATGGGAGTCGAGTCGGGGCGCATCCTTCAGACGGGATTGATTAACGCTAAAAATTTTATCCTTTATCCTTTATCGTTACATCATGACATCAAATACGAATATGTGGTGTCAATAATAATATTAATACTGCACAGTAATAATAATACTAATAATAATAATAAAATAATAATAATAATAGTAATAATAATAACAATAGCGTAGCAGCATTTTAATGTAAATTGATGACGGAGAACTTATTTCAAATACAAACAAAAAAGATAAGTAGCTTATGTAAGGTTATGGAGATAGCCGTCAGATCATAAATTCCGTGATTCTTAGAGACTGCTCAATGGCTTTTACAATTTGATTGGTTTCGCTTTTTTTTCTGGGTCTCAGAGGGCACTTCTTGCTATTCGATCCATTTCTTCTCTGAGGAGACTTTTTTAGGGGTCGTGATTTCAGCAGCCGATGAAGAAAGCCTCATGGATGCTAAAAGCCGAGAATGGGAATGTGGATAAATATGGGATGCCTCTCACGGAAGTACTAGGTCATAAATGAGATAGGATATCCTAGAAGAAATATCCCCCGAGGGGAGAGATATAGGAGCGGCTCACAAAAAATCTGTCTCCGTTTTTTTTTTTTTGAGTGAAACTTTTTTATTCTTCCTAGTAGTAGTCTATGGCTGTAAACAGCTTTGTCCACTGGGAAAAAACATTTTCCCACTTGTTTTTGCTTCTGACAAATCAATTTTTTNTTTTTTTTCGCTTAAACCCCCCAGCGAGAGGTTTACCCTTAATCTCTGCGCTGGTGTGAAAAACCCCTCAACCGGACGCATCCCTTCAGCGTTTTTTGTTCGTACTATGGCTTTGGCTTTTGATTCCGAGAACCTCGATCAGTTGACCGCTGTTCTATTTAGGTCCTCGTTTTCTTTTTTTACTTAATCATCTAGTTGGCCAGAAATCATCCGACTCCAATTTCAACAGAAAGCGTTTTCCCTAGAACTATCATTATGGTATGGGTTAATGGTAATTTGTAATACTAAGTATTATCACGTTATTTTCCCTAGAACTACCTACTTCGTAAGGAATTTTCAACTCGATACATGAGAACTTTAGTAATCAAATCGCTAAAAAAATCTTATATGACCTTAGAGAGGGGCAAAAGAGCCGGCGAGGATAATTTTGGAGAACTTCCTAGTATTTATCCAGCTTACCACAGGCATAAGACAATATCAAAATCCGGGTCGCTATCTACTCAGACCAACCAATCCTACAGAGACTGTTACTGCGTTTCTGGAGGATTGGTTATTTTTCACACCAATGCAGAGACCAAACTCGTCCAGAGGGATGAAACTGGCCGCCTTTTAGACTGGCTTGTAATAGACTTGGTATTGGTGAAATACCCATCCAAATGAAATCGCAGTTATATGTGGCATTCGAATGCGTCCGAGAAAAAAATAGCCCAGAAACTTTTTCTTTCATGCTTTATGGGAGAACATGGTACCCGGGAAGTGAGCTACAAGTAGGTAGGATACCTTAGAAGGAGTAGCAATCATAATGAATAATTGTCTTCCATCTTTCTTGCGAGCAGCCCAAGTTTTCCTACAGAATTTAGGAGCTGACAAGAGACCTCTCCGGGACCTACATCACTGTGTATTTCTAACTATTTTCTTCAGAAATAAATATTCTGGGCACCAACGCCTGTGAATATGAAGCTCATCTAGCCATATTCCTCCAGCGTTCTCCTTCTTCTATTGCGAACAAATGTCTCCTAAGTGTAATTAGCCGAAAGGGCATCGGAACCGAGAGATCTCTGAAATTTTAGCGAATAGAAGTTGATATAATATGCCCCGAAGCTCGTTTGGAAGATATATNATTCTGGGCACCAACGCCTGTAAATATGAAGCTCATCTAGCCATATTCCTCCAGTGTTCTCCTTCTTCTATTGCGAACAAATGTCTTCTAAGTGTAATTAGCCTAAAGGGCATCGGAACCGAAAGATCTCTGAAATTTTGTCGAATAGAAGTTGATATAATATGCCCCGAAGCTCGTTTGGAAGATATATTGCGCGGAATTCTGGAATGTAATTCACGGAATGGTCAACGAAAGCATTCCTGCTACCTTTATAAGCCAAAGTCTGAAGTTTGTTTTAACCCAAGGGGAGGCATGGGATTGTCTCAAGTTGGAAAGAAATCCTGAAGAAAGGCGATAACCATTCTGAGGACCTTCAGAACTTTTATGAACCTTTAAAATTCTAGCTGAAGATTCTGGTCGAAGTTGGACAGCTGTTTATATGGTTGTTTTCGAGGCATCCATTCAGATTCTTCAATTGGACAAAACAATAGCGCCAGGCAATTGTAGCAATGGTAAAGCTAATTGTAGCGAATGTTTATTCCAAGTGACATCTGATCTGTTTCAAGATTATTTATTAGTATATTAATAGTGAGAAAGTGTAAACAGAAGTCTGGCTGCTTATTGCATTCATGTGACCACCCACGAAATTTCGTTTTAGGGTTCCCATTCACCAGAAAAAA